CTTGTGGAGCTACGCATCGATGGATTAATCGTCAGTGTTTGGACTCTTAGTGAATATTAAACCACACTGATCTGAACTGAACTTAAACTCTGAAAACTGAACCGACACTGTTTCAATTCACTATAATCTTTTATGTGAAGCTGCTTTGACACAATCTACATTGTAAAAGTGCTATAGAAATAAAGGTGAATTGAACAAAAATATATGAAGTGATTTCTCTCTCTACAAAGTAAAAGCCCAGTGTCAGTATTCATACGTGTGTAAAACTGAAGGTGTAGTTGCTGCTGTTCTCCACTAGCGGGTGCAGTTTTACCTTCAGCCTCGATGTCATCAGCGCAGCGTTTGATCTGCAGGCAGAGCGCCGTCCGCATCTCCGGCAGAGACGTAAAACACCACGGTGCTTCAGAGCCGTCCGGGTTACGACAGTAGTTCTCCTCTAAACCCCTAATAAATAAAGACACAAGGTCACTGTTAACTCATTTATATGACCTTTATGTACATTATATTCTGCATTATAGTGCAAATTAAAAGTTGCTTTCATATTCTTTTGTATTGTCATAATCATGTGACTAATAGCATTACCATTTACCGCATGTTGTTGTTATTCTAGTTTGCTTATGGAGTGCATATATAGGGACCATTTGTTAAGTAATTTTCAGATAGGGATGTTTGGTGAAGTCGTTGTTCAAATGTTATAAGCCATAAACCAAACCAATTGAGAGGGGTCTGGATGCAGATTGCAGTGCAATCTGAGCTGCATCCAATGCTTTTTAATGCGTTCACTTACCCCTAACCCTAACCGTCGCAGTGACGTCACTCACTCCATTCAGTGCATTGTGTCTGACATTGCATCGCTGAGTGATGCAATCTCAGCTTGCATCATAAAGGCTGCATCCAGATACTATTGGACCAATCAGCTATGAGGTGTATCACACTTTACAAAACAATTTGATTTGATGCCAGAATATATGAAGATCAGACAAAAAGATACAAAACGGATAACTTAACAAGCGTTCTGAATAACACAAACAAATAAACAAAATGATTAAGAAATAGCTATAAAAATATACGTTTTTAATTGTATCAGACATACTATATTTTAGCTTTTTATAAATATTAAAATATTTGGAAAGTTTAAGAGTTTTTGGTTAACACACTGTGACTCTTCGATAGGTGGAGTTTTCGGCAGAGCCTCATGGGTAATGTAGTTTTTCCACTGCATGAATTTGTTTTATAATAGGCTGATTTTACGTTAACAGATGGTTCAGCAAAATCACATGCAATCGATTAACATACTCAAAACACACAAGAAGTCTGTTTATTGGTCAATCGGTAAATGTTAAAAATCACTGTCCCTATAAAAGAACATTACTGGAGATTTTACTTAGAGAATCACATTGCTGCTTTTTATGGCAAGTAAATAAATCATAAGTCTTGCACATTCACACAAAATTTTCAAAACACATTCACTTGCACTCACTTGCACTCGTAGGTTTTAGGGAAAAATGGGTGTTCGTGAGGTTTCTGGGCATCCCAACGCTGACAAGGGATTCCAGAGGTTGTTTCGTTGACTTTGCCCCTGTAATCCTCGCCTCGCCCCCGAAAGCAGTTAGTGGTGTAGCTGGAGCGAAGACGACGCTTGGGAAATTCAGCTGCAGGACACAAATAAGAGTTTCTTATAAAAAAAGCCAAATTGACAATCCACAATTCTTCAAGGAATTTTATATGCAGTATTTATTATAAATATTTTGGTGTTTACTGGTGTGAGGGCTGGATCAAACTGTCACTCAAATAAAATCACTTACAGTAAACCTCAATCATCCAACCAATTTCTCATGGAAATAATCAAGCCCCACCCAAAATTTGTTGTTCTTTTCTCTGTTTGGTGTTTACTGGTTTAAGGACGGGACCAACCTGTCACTCAAATAAAATACACCATTAGAAAAGCACAAACATCCAATCAATTTCTAAAGGACATCATCAAGCCCCGCCCAACATTTGTTGTTCTTTTCTCTGATTGGTGTTTACTGGTGTGAGGGCAGGATCAAACGGTCACACTTAATATTTCCATCAAACAGTAAACCACAACTATCCAATCAATTTCTGATAGACATCATCAAGCCCCGCTCAACATTGGTTGTTCTTTTCTCTGATTGGTGTTTACTGGTGTGAAGGTGGGACCAGCCCATCACTCAAATTAAATAGATTAACAATAAACCACAATTATCCAATCAATTCCTGATGGACATAACCAAGCCCTGCCCAACATTTGTTGTCCTTTTCTCTGATTGGTATTTACAGATGAAAATACCATTATGAATTTCACCAAAAGTAAACCACAATCATCCAATTAATTCACCATGCACAAAATCAAGACCCGCCCAACATTTGTTTTGCTCTTCTCTGGTAGGTGTTTAGAGATGTGGGGGTGGGATCAATCTGTCACTTACTTAAGACCCACCAACAGTAAAACACAATCATATAATCAATTCCTGATGGACATAATCAAGCCTAGCCCAAGTTTTTTGTGCTCTTTTCTAATTGGTGTTGTTAAAAGGTGTGAGGGCGGGATCAACCTGTCATTCACTTATGATCCACCAACAGTAAATCACAATAATCCAATCAATTTCTGATGGACATAATCAAGCACCGCCCAACATTTGTGTTTTTTTTTCTGATTGGTGTTTACTGGTGTAAGGGCGAATCAACCTGTCACTCAAATGAAATCCATCAACAGAAACCAATCATCCAATCAACTCCTCATTGTACAAAAGCAAGCCCCGCCCAACATATGTGGTTATTTTCTGGTTACAGATTTAAGGGTGGGACCAGCCTGTCATTCAATTTAAATCCATAAACAATAAACCACAATCATTCAAAAAATTCCTGATGGACATAATCAAGCCCCGCCCAACAGTTGTTGCTCTTTTCTCTGATTGGTGTTTACTGGTGTGAGGGTGAGACCAACTTATCACTCAAATGAAATCCATTAACAGTAAACCACAATCATCCAATCAATACCCGGTAGACAAAATCAAGCCTCGCCCAACATTTGTTGCTCTTTTCGCTGATTGGTGTTCACTGGTGTGAGGGCGGGATCAACCTGTCATTCACTTTAGATCCGCCAACAGTAAACCACAATCATCCAATCAACTTCAGACAGACATAATTAAGCCCCGCCCAACATTTGTTGTTCTTTCCTCTGACTGCTGTTTACAGATGCGAGAGCAGGACATGCCTGTCACTCAAATTAGATCCTTAAACAATAAACCACAATTATCCAATCAATTCCTAATGGACATAATCAAGCCCCTCCCAACATATCATTCTCTGATAGGTATTCACAGATGTAAGGGCGGGATCAACTTATTACTCTCATGAATTTCACCAAAAGTAAACCACAATCATCCAATCAATTCATCATTTAAAGAATCAAGCCTTGCCCAACATTTGTTATGCTCTTCTCTGATAGGTGTTTAGAGATGTGGAGGCGGGATCAACCTGTCATTCAGTTAAGATCCGCCAACAGTAAACCACAATCATCCAATCAATTCCTGATGGACATAATCAAGCCCCGCCCAACTTTTTTGTTTTTTTTCTTCGATTGGTGTTTACTGGTGTAAGGGCGGAATCAACCTGTCACTCAAATTAAATCCACCAACAGAAAACCAATCATCCAATCAAATCCCCATGTACAAAAGCAAGCCCCGCCCAACATTTGTGGTTCTTTTTTGGTTACATATTTGAGGGTGGGACCAGCCTGTCACTCAATTTAAATCCATAAACAATAAACCACAATCATCCAATAAATTCCTGATGGACATAATTAAGCCCCGCCCAACAGTTGTTGCTCTTTTCTCTGATTGGTGTTTACTGGTGTGAGGGTGGGACCAACCTATCACTCAAACGAAATCCAAAAACAGTAAACCACAATCATCCAATCAATACCCGGTAGACAAATCAAGCCACGCCCAACATTTGTTGCTCTTATTGCTGATTGGTGTTTACTGGTGTGAGGGCGGGATCAACCTGTCATTCACTTTAGATCCGCCAACAGTAAACCACAATCATCCAATCAATTCCTTATGGACAAAATTAAGCCTCACATGTCTGTCTTGCATCATAGAGCAGAAAATAATAGTGAAACTTCTGTTTCATAATTTAATGCGACTCTTGACCGATTAAAATATATTATTATGAATATTTGCATATTCATAACAATGCTACTCTAGTTTGTCTTGTGAACTCAATGCAATAAAACGCTATTAAAATTGTGGAGCAGAACATCATAAGTGAGTTTGTGACTCTGCACTATATAGTTGTCTCTTTGAGCAGCACTGATGCAATTGGAAATGACAGCCATGTCCTCAGAAAGATGAAGATCTGTGTCATTTAAACAGAGTGAATGAATAATGCAAGCGATTTGCATGGAGATTGAAATCCACGCACCGCTAACAGAATGCAAACAACTGCTAAAGATTAAAAGTGTTGTGCGAGCAATTTAAAGCTGACTTTGCATTACAGCTGTTTATGTAATGACTTCATTCCAACAACTTTGAGTGTTTGTTCAGTTTAACATCTGCTGTGTGTCAGTGTTAACTTTAACCTGTTGCAGAAATCCTCAAAGAAAAGCATCTGGGTTTTTGAGGAATTGTAGACTTCATGTGTTTTATTTCTTCAGATAGCCCATGCTAGTTCTAGTGTATGGTTTGTAAGACTAGATTATGCATGATTTATCTTGGGGTAATAAAACCAAAGCGGTGAGATTTGGCTGCTAAATGACTAATGCCGAGTTTAGACTGAAGAATGATTTCAGCCCTGAATTTTTAAAAAAATCACAGACAAATGCCTGAAATCACAGGCAAAACGGTGCTCGTTCTTGAGAATGACAATCACACAGTGTGAACTATTAAAGACGCGATCTGAGAGAATCGCAGAAGAGTCGCCGACGCCTGTGAGATATTTGCCACACTAAATATCTGGAGCTGTCTGTGTAAATAACCCCAAGTTATTTAAGTTAGGTTTCAGTGTTAATTATTTATCCTGCTTTTAATTACTTCTCTATTTCTTTAAAGATTGTTGTGTTTTTGTTATTTATTTAAACTCCGCTTTGTACTAAGTTATTTCGCCTATAGAGGCCCTTATTTTGACGCGCGGCTTGCCGGAAGTGGTCAGGTGCGCGAGCGCGCGCAGATCACGGAAGCAGGGAGATCGGAGAAGCGCGCCTAGCACGAGGGAAAGAGCGATCGCTTGCACAGAGAAATGCACGGAGCTAAAGTTACATTTAAGGACTGATTTAAGAGGGATTTAATGCATATTTGAGTTTGTTTTTTGTTCTGTTCATCTTCATTGTTTGAACACCTGGTTGGAAGGGAGAACAAGGTAGATAAGGAAATTTATATACATATTGCTAAAATTTGATGCATCTGTTGGCTTGCTAATAATTTAAATTGCTATTTTATCGTAAAATTAGTCATATTTTTGCAGATACTTTATAATATTGTTAATAAGTTTATTGTTTTGTCTTATTATGTAAAGTTTTATTCATTACATCTTTTCTATTTGTGTTTATTCATCTGTTCTTAGCTCTTACGGTGTTGTACAGTCTTTAAGGACGGCTATCGCAACAATAAAGGCACAAAGGAGGACAGTGCAACATCAGTGCATGAGTTTAATCCTTTTATTTCTCCAACCGGGCTGTTATAGTCTGCAATTTACAATCATGCCCTGTGAAAAGCGTTCTGATTAAAAATACCAATTGCGATCACCTACACTACAGTGTCATGATCACCAGCGATCTAACATCCAGAGATTGCTGGTAAACTCTCACTTTCACACGAGTGAATTTATGATGATTTATGCATGCAGACTATTTTCTTCATACAGTCCAAACAGTTAAGATATCCTGCATTTTTTAAAAATAAGCCATGCTGTACAGTAAACATTAAGCAATATTTATGCTTGTCATAAGGAGCAGGAATACTTACGGCACTTGCTTATATCACAGCTCTCTCTCTCCATTGTTGGGTCAGTGGTGTAACACCAGGGCACCGGAGACGCATCCGGGTTGCGACAATAATTATCATCCAAACTTTTATCCGGATATCTGGTTACAAAAAACACCCAAGACAAAGACATTTTACACGATTACAACAGCATTTACTGAAGGAACTGCAGGTCAAGTTGGTATAAGATGAGTAATTGTGTTCAACGGAAGAAAGAAACTCAAACAGGTTTGAAACAAGTGTAAGATGATGAAATAATGAGAGAAATTTTCTTTTCGTTACTAAGGGTGCTTTCACACCTGTGAATCGATTCAGTTGTTCCGAAACAGAGATTACAATTGTTACATTGTTGCTCTTTGCTCTTGGAGCGGTTCGCTTTCACACTGCAAAGTTTCTAAACGGACCAAAAGAGCTAAAACAAGTCACGTGCGAGTAAACTCTCCTCACATTGGTCAGTGTCAGGGTTTATTTTGCAGCGTCCGGCTCAGCTGTCAGGAGAGGTGGTGGTTTGGTGGTGATTGACAGGGTGCGCGCGCGCGACATGTCTGAGGAGAGACGCGGTGGGGAGGGGTGAGAAGGGTGCGCGACGATGCCTATTTGAGGGAGGGAGAGGCAAGATTACCGGGAGATCATCACTCGTTTGCTGACATCCGGAGACTCGCGAAACTTCCAGCCCTACTCATAATTCTCTCTTCATATAGCCGTAAGCCTATTACGTATGCATAAAACACTGTGATATAACCGCGCTCGGATCGGATCGCTTTCTCACTGCAATCGAACCGCTCCAGGGTTCGTTTCAATCGAGCCGAGACCACCTCATTCAAGCGATCTCGGAGCGATTACTTTGGCGCGGAACAGAGCGCGATTGCCCTGTTCACATATGCCAATCGAACCGCACTAACTGGGCAAACGAGATACGTTCCGAAACAAAAGTGTAGGTGTGAAAGCACCCTTAGTCTCACGTTAGGACTGATTTTAAAAAAAATCGGTGATTTGTAATAAAGCACATCACGGTGGTGCAGTTGGTAGCACAACTGCCTCACAGCAAGAAAGTCACTGGTTTGAGCCTCGGCTGGGTCAGTTGGCATTTCTCTGTGGAGTTTGCATGTTCTCTCCATGTTGATGTGGGTTTCCTTCGGGTGCTCCGGTTTCCCCCACAAGTCCAAAGACATGCTCTATACAGTAAGTGAATTGGGTAAGCTAAATTGTCCGTAGTGGATGAGAGTGTATGAGTGTCCAGCATATGGACATATGCTGGATAAGTTGGCGGTTGATTCCGCAGATTAATAAAGGGACTAAGCCGAAAAGAAAATGAATGAATGAATGAATAAAGCAAATTTGCAGTACAGTATCTGCACTTTTCCTTTCATGTTTGCCAGGTACCCCTCTGGATTTATAGTAATGTCATATTCACTTCTCCGGCTGGTAGATGTGTTGATGTGGAAACTGTTGGTCCCATCTCTGACACTCTTTTCCGCTGACAGTGTGATCCACTTGCCCTCTGTAGTCTTCACCATTACAAGTGATGCACACCTCTAAATGCAGAAACATATAAAACCCATCTGCTCACAATGACTGTAAATATGACAACACTGGAAAGTTTGACTAAGTGATGATTTCTTAGAGCATAATAATAAGAGCCTTTAAAAGTAGCATCTCAAATACAACTGTGACAATAAATTGTTCGAAAAATGTGTCTGAGATTTTAAAAATGCACCAATATTCTCTCCTATTGAAGGTTAGTTTTTAACAGTAGATGGCGCTCTAAGCTAGTTTTCAGAAGCAGGAGGCGCTCCAGGGTAGTTTAACAGCACATGGCACTGTAAGGTAGATTGTACCAGCAGATGGTGCTCTAGGCTAGTTTTCAACACCAGTTGGCAGTCTAGGATAGTTTTTAACAGCAAACAGCCCTCTAGGCTAGTTTTTAATAGCAGATGGCACTCTAGTCTATTTTTAACAGTATAATGCTTACTCTAGGCTAGTTTTTAACAGTGGATGGTGCCATAGGCTAGTATTCAACAATAAGTGACACTATAGGCTAGTTTTTAACATTACTTAATGCTCTAGGCAAGTTTTTAACAGCAGATAGTACTCTAGGCTAGTTTTTTTTACAAGCAGATGGTGCTCTAGGGTAGTTTTTAACAGCACTCTAGGCTAGTTTCTAACAGAATAATACTTATTCTGGCCTAATTTTTAACAGCAGATGGTGCTCTAGGCTAGTTTTAACAGCGCTCTAGGCTAGTTTCTAACAGAATAATACTTACTCTGGATTAATTTTTTACAGCAGATGGTGCTCTAGGCTAGTTTTTAACACCAAGTGTTGCTCTATGCAAGTTTTTAAAAGCAGCCCTGCTGAAAAATCCAGCTTATACCAGTCTAGGCTGGTTGGCTGGTTTTAGCTGGTTGACCAGCCTGGTTTTAGAGGGGTTTTGGCCATTTCCAGGCTGGTCTTAGCTGGTCAGGCTGGAAAATGACCAGCTAAATCCAGCTAAAACCAGCTTGACCAGCCTGGTTTAAGCTGGACATAGCTGGTTTTGGCTAGGATCCCAGCCTGGCTAGACTGGTAAAGCTCGTTTTAGCTGGTCATCTCCCAGCCTGACCAGCTAAGACAAGGCTGGAAATGGCCAAAACCCCTCTAAAACCAGGCTGGTCGACCAGCTTAAACCAGCTAACCAGCCTAGGCTGGTTTAAGCTGGCTTTTTCTGTAGGGAGGTCGTGCGCTAGGCTAGTTTGTAAAAATATAATGCTAACACTAGGCTAGTTTTTTTAACAGCAGATGAGGATCTTGGGTAGTTTTTAACAGCAAATGGAGCTCTAGGCTAGTTTTTAACAGCAGATGGCACTCTAGACTATTTTTTTAACAGCAGATGGTGCTCTAGGCTACTTTTTAACAGCAGATGGTGCTCTAGGCTACTTTTTAACAGCAGATGGTGCTCTAGGCTAGTTTTTAACAGCAGATGGTGCTCTAGGCTATTTTTTAACAGTATAATGCTTACTCTAGGCTAATTTTTACCAGCAGATGGCGCTATAGGCTAGTTTTCAACAATAGGTAGCACCCTAGGCTAGTTTTCAACATTACGTGCTGCTCTAGGCTAGTTTTTAACAGTAGATAGTACTTTATACATGTTTTTAAAAGCAGTTGGTGCACTAGGCTAGTTTTTAACAGTATAATGCTTACTCCTGGATAGTTTTAAACAGTAGATAGTACTCTAGGCTAGATTCTAACAGCGGACAGCATTCTAGTTTTTTAACAGCAGATGGCAATCTTGGGTAGTTTTTAAACAGCAGATGGAACTCTAGGTTAGTTTTCAACACCAGGTGGCGCTCTAGGCTACTTTCTAACAGCTGATTGTGGTCTATGAGCCATTGTGTGATCAGCTGAGTTATGCAAGTTCACTTTTATGTCACAAAATTATTGTAAACACAGGTACTATTAACTGTGTAACTGCTTAACTTTTCTAACTTTATTAATGACTTTTTTAGGTTCACATGGTATTTGTAAGGAATTGGATGCCAACTAACCGTCTTTGCACTGAGGGATATTGCAGCTCTCGTATCTGCGTTCGGGGTCAGTGGTGTAACACCAGGGGCCGATGCGGTCGCCGTCTGGATTTCGGCAGTAGTTCAGTTCCAGGCCATTAGTCGCAGACGGAGTCCATCTATTCCCAACAGAGGTCACATCATTCTAACATCGCAGCCGCACAATGAGTCAGTATCTTAGAGTATAATACTGTATACAAAGGTGCATTAAACAAATCAAAATGTAAGATATTAGACTGCTGTTTAAATATTTACACATTAAATATTTGGAACATGTTTCACAGACAAATACATGAAATTACATTCATACACATACATTACATTGATCGCATACCTGTGGTCATGAGGGAATTTTGACCACCACTGTTGACATGTTCGTCCACTTGTAGTTGTCGACACTTTCCCTCGATAGTCTTCTCCTTTACCCACAATGCATTTCCTTACATATACTGAACATATACAAAACATGTGTGAACATTACAATCATAACTAGCGGTTATTTAATGTAATGTTAGAGAGCTGTATTTTCTATAACATCCCACAATGTTATCAATGTCCTCATAATGTTTAAAAGTAACTTTGTAATACTTTAGACCCAATTTACTATAGCAACATTTTAGCTAGCAATTCCTCACCCTTCATCTCATAGAGGTCACAGTTCACGTTTCTCTTCACGTCTGCATTGTCTCCGTCGCCCACCCAGGGCAGATGTTTACACACCAATGATGGACGAAACTCATAGTTGAAAGCTCTGTAAAGATGCAGCGCTTTGTAAAAAACATAAGCTACTTTCTTATGGCAATGAAGTGTGTTTAACTAATAAAATTATAATTTCTAAAACATAATGTTAGTAATTAACATTTTTTATTTAATGCTGTGTTTGATATTACATTTACAAAGATGCAGCATGCTAGAAACATTCTAACAAACTGATAACCATGCTAGCAGTCTGATCAATCATGCCTGAAACGTGCTAACATTGAGTTCAATCAAATTAGCAGTGTGTTGAAACATTGGGAAATGCTAACCTACTGCTTTTAACCAATGTGTTAACAGTTCAATCATATTAGCAGGCAGTGTGTTGAAACATTGAGAAATGCTAGTAACCTAATGCTGTTAAGAAACTAGCAATGTGTTTTTATTCTAGCAGTGTTTAATCATAATTAATACATTCTAGCAATGTGCTAACATGTCAGCAGTGTTTAATCATGATATAATTGATAAACATGCTAGCATTCTGATAAATCATACCAGTAACGTGCTAACATTGAGTTCAGTCATATTAGCAGTGTGTTGAAACATTGGGAAATGCTATTAACCTAGCAAGCAACATGTTAGGATTGTGCTACATAATCAAAGAAATTATAACAACATAATCATTATGTTTGCAACATAACCTATTAGCAATGTCTAATCATGATAAAACTATGATAGTAACATGCTAACAGCCCTGCTGAAAAATCCAGCTTAAAGCAGCTTAGACTGGTTGGCTGGTTTTAGCTGGTTGACCAGCTTGGTTTTAGAGGGGTTTTGGCCATTTCCAGGCTGGTTTCCAGCCATTTCCAGCCTGGTTTTAGCTGGTCTGGCTGAAAAATTACTAGCTAAATTTAGCTAAAACCAGCTTGACCAGCCTGGTTTAGGCTCCCATTCTGGCTAGGCTGGTCAAGCTGGTTTTAGCTGGTCATCTCTCAGCCTGACCAGCAAAGACCAGGCTGATAAAAAACATGCTAAAAATCTCATAAATCATGCCAGAAATGTGCTAACATTGAGTTCAGTCATATTAGCAGTGTGTTAACATTAGGAAATGCTATTAACATAGCTAGCAACATGTTAGTATTGTGCTACATAATGAGAGAAACATGTTTGCAACATTAACCTATTAGCAATGTCTAATCATGATAAAATGTGATAGCAACGCATTAACATGTTAGCAGGGTTTAATCATGATAAGAAAATGCAAGCAGCTTGCAAACAAGTTAGCAGCATTAAGTCATGATAAAAACATACTAGCAACGTGCTAATATTCTAGTAGTGTTTAATCATGATACAAACATACTAGCAATGCGCTAACACGTCAGCAGTGTTTAATCATGATACAAACATCCTGCATCCTGATTTTCAGATTTAGATTTGTGGTTAATCTTCCAATCATAGTGAGAATTGAGTGATGTGTGTGGAGCTGAAGTATGCTAGAACAGGAAATGGGGATGTAAAACCTGCATTCTGGACTCTCTGTGCAGCGTTTAGCGCAATCCTCCAGTGTGACTCCCGGAAGTTCAGTTAGTCGGTTCACGTTCCAGGATTTCAGAACCAGTTCTCTTCCCTCCGACCGCTGAAAATCATTTAGTGCGCTGCGGTATCCTATAAATCCATAACAAATGTAAAAGTTATTTTTCATGCGGTGCATAGAAATGATAATAAATGCAAGTGTCTGCTTTACTATTTGAAAAAAGTGATAAAAAAATGTACAGAAATTGGTGAAATTATTTTCTGTCTTCATTCAGTGGAACACACACACACACACACACACACACACACAAACATAGTCACCTGTAAATATTAAAATACAGTTGCTAACATTTGAAGTGGATCATCACCTTTCATCAAAGTTGTCATAAAACTATTGAAAATCTCCCATTCTTGTTCAAGGACAATTAAGAAAAAACATTTTTGATTCACTTCGAATGTAGACTACTGTATTAAAATGCATTATTAAAACTATGATAGTAAAAGTTAAAATTTGAGACAGTATAAAATAATTAAAAACTGCAACTAACTAGTATTTCCATCATTATGGTGGCTTGAGAAAGTGAATACTGTTATACAACATAAACATATTATTCTTCTGTCTTCTTTTTCATCTGCTCCTAGACCGTTCCTGCTACAACCACTGAACTAACACCAAACTGCCTCAGGTTTCTATATCTTGTCCAACTTCTCGACTTACAGTTTTCCGAAAACTGACCTGGAAAAGTGGAGAAAAGTCACATCGACTTAACATTGGACTAAATTTTATGATCTCATAATTTTGCGCCAGACTGTCAAACAGATTTGTGGTTGGGCTCATTTAACTCAGACTACCAATCTGCCAATTACTGATGACATTTAACTTACTAGCCACACCTTAGCAACAACTTACGACACCCTAGCAACTGTCTTATAGACTTCCATTGTATACAACTGCCATTGACTTTACATTGGACATACTAACAACATAACTCATAATTGCAAAATACTAATCCATACTTGAAACATACTAATCATATTAGCAACATGCTAATTCATACTGTAAACATACTAGAAACATGCCAGTTCACACTTGCAATATCCTAATCCATACTAGAAACATAAATAGCAACATGCTAATTCATACTAAATTCATGCTAACAACATGCTAGTTTATACTAGAAACATGTGAACAACATTCTTATTCTTATTAAAACCATGGTAATTTATGTTAGCAGCTACTAGCAAACACTCAGAACACTTTAGCAATAGCCTAGCAACACCTTAGCAACCACCTAAAATACTCTAGCAACCGCCAAGCAATGCCTTAATAACCACTTTTAACACCCTAGCAACGCCTTAGCAGCCACCGAGCAACCACTTAGAGCACCTTAGCAACCGCCTAGCAACATCTTAGCAACCACCTAGAACACCTTAGCAACCACCTAGCAACACCTTAGCAACCATCTAGCAGACAATCAGAATATCCTAGCAACCATGTAGCAACACCTTAGCAACCACTTAGAACACTCTAGCAACACCTTAGCAACCACTCAAAACATCCTAGCAACCGCCTAGCAACACCTTAGCAACCACCTAGCATGGCCTTAGCAATTGCCTAGCAACACACTAGCAACCACTCAGAAAACCCTAGCAACCACCTAGCAACACCTTAGCAACCACCAAGAACACCTTAGCAATGCCTTAGCAATCACCTAGAACACCCTAGCAATACCTAAGCAAACACCAAACAATACCGTAGCAACCACTTGGCAACACCTTAACAACTACCTGGAACTCCCTAGCAATGCCTTAGCAACCGCCGAGCAACCACTCAGAACACCTTAGCAACTGCCCAGCAACAACTTAAACAGTCAAAGCAACCACCAAGCAATGCCTTAGCAACTGTGTAGCAATCACTCAGAACAGCCTAGCAATGACCTAGCAACACCTTTGCAATAACCTAGCAACCACCCAGAACACCTTAGCAACCGCTTAGCAATGCCTTAGCAACCTTGCAGAACACCCAAGCAACTGTCTAGCAACATCTTAGCAACCACCTAGAGCACCTTAGCAACCCCTGAGCAACCAGTCAGAACATCTTAGCAACTGCCTAGCAATGCCTTGAACAGTCAAACTACCTAGCAAGCCCTAGCAAATACTCTGAACACCCTAGCAACACCTTAGCAATGACTCAGAACATCTTAGCAACTGCCCAGCAACAACTTAAACAGTCAAAGCAACCACCAAGCAATGCCTTAGCAACTGTGTAGCAATCACTCAGAACAGCCTAGCAATGACCTAGCAACATCTTTGCAATTACCTAGCAAACACTCAGAACACCTTAGCAACCGCTTAGCAATGCCTTAGCAACCTTGCAGAACACCCTAGCAACTGTCTAGCAACATCTTAGCAACCACCTAGAGCACCTTAGTAACCCCTGAGCAACCAGTCAGAACACCTTAGCAACTGCCTAGCAATGCCTTGAACAGTCAAACTACCTAGCAAGCCCTAGCAAATACTCTGAACACCCTAGCAACACCTTAGCAACGACTCAGAGCACCACCAGCAAGAAACATGCAAATCCATACAAGAAACCTGCTAACCTATATGTACTTATCTATTTATACCAACTGCTTCAAACTTCCTAAAAAGAAAAACTTCAATTATTTAATTTTTAAAGTTACTTTAAACTTTCAGACGAGGCTTTCCCAAGCCATCATGAGGTTTGTCTACGAACTTTAATTTTCTAGTTTAATATGATCTACTGACTCTTGCTCTAAATTTGGCAGGGAAAAAAAGCCTGAGGTTAAGTTAAATGACAGTTAAACAAGTTATTAGATGAAAATAAAGTTTCAAATAGATCAAATCTAAAAAACATGTAACTCTGTTAGTGAATAAAACTCACTGTAACATTGTTTCTATATATAAGTGTGTGTGTCCTCTTTGAGGGGCTTAAACACACATGACCTTTGGATCTGTAAACTGTGCATCTACATTTACATGTTACACAAAATTTCCCAGTGGCAAGCCATGATAATACGGTGATGCCTGAATAACTCAACAACAAACAGAACATCCCAGAAACCAGCACGTGATCTGTTTTAACCTCAAGAATTGGCGATATATGCATGTATATAAGACAAAAAAGGGCCATTAATCACAAGCAACGCAACAGGCCACAATGTCATTTGCTTACAAGAAAAATATGGAACTGCGTTCATCAGATTTACTTAAGTGAAATCTTGTAATTAAAGCACCATAATTACATACTTGTTGTTTATATAGATCAATCTAATTAAATATATAGAATAACCATATATATTGGCATAAACTAATATAGTATTTGTTATTATATATAGTGGTTATGATAATCGGATCATTAGAATATTAAAGACAAAACGTGTAAATATTCTGTCTTTAAGTTTGCCCTTTGACAGGGTTACACTAAACAAGTGACCATAGATTTATTGTGATTCTATGGTGTTTGAGAAACTGTACCATGATAAATATCTGTAGAGAGTTACAGTAATGTGTTTTAAATTGTGTGATAGCCTAAATTTGGACTGTTCTTAAAATAGTGTACATCAAAACAAAATTAGTTCACAAAGCTTTCACTCAGATGAAATTATTAGATATGAAAGTCTTGATCTTACCATCAACTGAATCGAGTCGAAGCAGGAGAGCTGTGAGAAAGAAGAGCATAAACATGGTGTGAGAGACGCTTTACTGCAGCCACACAGCTCAAATGAGGACTTTGAGTCTTTCCCTCTAGAGGAAATGATGAAGGGGTGCTGTGTGTATATGTGTGTATGTGTGTGATTGTGTGTGTGTTTGTGGGGCTGGGTGGGGGGTGGTGATAATGTTTACTCTCCTGACCTGACAGAACAGGACATTTCAAGATCAATCAAGCCCCAAGTAAACAACTTTACAAATGAAACTATGTATATGTATGTATATATATATATATATATATATATATATATATATATATATATATATATATATATATATATATATATATATATATATTCATTCTGTTTAATATATCTCCTCCATAATTCAAGTGACTGTCTTGAATACGGCCTGTCCACAAATCTTCAGAGATTTTGTTTTTCTTGCATTTACAAGAAAGCTTACCACTATAAATCTATCCTTTATCACAACAAACAAACAAACAAACAAACAAACAAACAAACAAACAGGGGAATAATACCCTGAATAAATTCTGAATTAATTGTCTTTTATGGGATTACAAAGAGCACATTTTCTTAACTCATTTCTTTCAATACAGAGTAAAACACGAACATTGCTTGCTCGATTGTAGCTTACACTACCTGACAAAAGTCTTGTTGTCGATCCCAGTTGTAAGAGCAAAAAATAATAACTTGACTTCTAGTTGATCATTTGGAAAAGTGGCAGAAGGTAGATTTGTCTGCTAAATCATCAGAAGACCTACTGGAACCTGCATGAACCCAAGATTCTAACAGAAATCAGTCAAGTTTGGTGAAGAAAAAATTATGGTTTGGGGTTACATTCAGTATGGGGGTGTGCGAGACATCTGCAGAGTGGATAGCAACATCAACAGCCTGAGGTCTCAAGCGATTGTGCTGCCCATTACACTACAGACCACAAGAGAGGGCAAATTCTTCAGCAGGATAGCGCTCCTTCTCATACTTCAGCCTCCACATCAAAGATCCTGAAAGAAAAGAAGGTCAGGGTGCTTCAGGATTGGCCAGCCCAGTCACCAGGGTTGAACATTATTGAGCATGTCTGGGGTAAGATGAAGGAGGACTTTATATTCTATACTGTACAATATTTCTGTTAAGTGACAAGACTTTTGTCTAAGCAAAGTCAGACCTTACTGTCCTAATTAAATAATTAAAAATCATGGCACGATCATATTTTTTTTGGTAAATAAGCGTAATCCAGAGGCCTTTGCCTTTTATAAAAGCCACTTCTGATACCAAATGATCAACTAGAAGTCAAGTTATTATTTGTTGCTCCTAAAACTTGGATAGACGACACAACTTTTGTCAGGAAGTTGAATTAGAAACTTGAAACTTGAATTAATTAAATTAAGTTCTGGGGACAAAACTTAGAATCAATATAAACTAAAAAATTAAAAGATGTAAAAATGTGACATCCTTGCAATTTTTAAAAATGTCTTATAATTACAAACTAAAGGAAATCATTAATATCAACATGTAACTGTGAGACAAGGTCACAATTCTGATAGAAAAAATTGGATTGTGCAACATATTTTTTATAGAATTGATATAAACTCTAGGTTGTGGGAAGAAAGGCCTGAATTGTGAGATAAAAAAACAAACTCATAATGGCCTATTTACATGTCTGTTTTTAGCTGCCATTAAAGTGAAAGGATGGGTGAATAAAAAAAGATGGTTGCAAACAATAATTATTCATTTATAACAGTAAAAGAGAAGGAAATGAGCGCCATTTGACTCTATGGCCACATTTAAACATGAAGATGAGCACAGCCAGACACTTCACACACAAAAACAAAGTGTGAATGGACCATGGATTGCTGGCTCTGTTCACACCTGCTGTTAAAATGCTGGTCGATTGTATTAAGTACGACTTTACCTGGTTGTTATTCTTTTTTAGGACAACCAGCTGGATTTCTGTCAATAGTGGTCTTGTGGTGCTTAGTATTTTGTACGACAGACTTTTTGTTTTTTTTTTTTAGGAAAAAGAGTAGGTAGGCTAACACTCACTAAGTAAGACCCTTATTCTCCAGTTGTTGTTACAAGTAAAAAGTATCTAGTAAAAACTAAGTAAATTGATATTGTGCTAAATAATGCTAGAGAAATCTTATCAACATGTTTAGCAGTGTCATTATGCGCTGAAATAAGTTAAAAATACGTTAAAAATATCTACGATATTTTAAACTTCTCTAAATTGTTAAGTATCTAGTAAAAACTAAATAGTGTCTGCAATACTAAATATATATATATACAAAATCCTTGTATTTCGATGGCTTTCTTATTATTTTGTGTTCAACAAATAGAAAGAGAATATAAAGAAAAGACGTTGTTTTAGGTGAACTATCACTTTAGCATTTAGCATGGCTAAAATGTAAACTGAGGGTTGTAATAGTTGACCAAGCCGCTAGAGGTCAGTGTGTCTCTCCGGTAAAGCTGACACAATCTTCCGGGACTCAAACTTCTGCAGGCTCAGTTTTACTCTAGGAAAAAAACACGTATACTTAGATTTACTGGAGAATTATAGAATGTGTTTCGAATACATTATATTAAGCTTATTCTAACTTTTGTTATAAACCTTTGCACAGCTGAAGGCGCGGTGTTTGTGTTTTCCTCGTGAACTTTGGTCCTGGATCATCATGTCTTCGGTTGAGATCTCCGAGGGCTCGGTTCTGCTGGAGATCTGCGGAGATCAGCCGCTGTTTTACCGACAGGCGGTTCCGTCGAGCGGCAGCGGCGGGCTCTGCGTGCTGCTGCTGCACGGGATCCGCTTCTCCTCCAAGAACTGGCAGAAAATCGGGACTCTAGAGACTCTGGCCGCCGCCGGTTACCGAGCTTTGGCCATAGACCTGCCAGGTGACTATTCAACACTGCACAGATAAAACAGGTTAAAGTTAACACGTAATACAGAATAAATACCGTGTAACGTTACACACCTCTAATATATCTATAATATATGACCATGGTATTTTGTATATCATAAATAAATCAATTAAAACGATATATGAAATATTAATGTACTGTTATTTTATATTGTTAATATGGCTATATAGCAGTTATTATAATTATAATTATATGTAAATATTGTAGACATTTTAATAATTCGTTTAAAAATATACATACTAGGTTATGTTTAATTTAGCAAATTGTAATATTATTATAAATGATTATTATTATAGTCCTTTTATGGACACTTTAAAGATCTGTAAGGTTTCACTTACAAAAACACATTGTTCTGGCAATAATTGTCATAAATTTATCATAAAATACTGAAATAATCCCAATGTACTTTAAGTTGTAAATGTATATTAAAAAAAAAAAAAAAAAAAAAAAAAAATATATATATATATATATATATATATATATATATATATATATATATATATATAATACAGTTGTATAATATCAATAAATTTAATGATCAATCAATTCACAGTAATCAAATTTTAAAAATATAATAAGCAACCATTTTCCCAGTGATGGGTTGCAGCTGGAAGGGCATCCACTGCATAAAACTTATGCTGGATAAGTTGGCGGTTCTTTCCGCTGTGGCGACCCCAGATTAATAAAGACACCAAGCTGAAAAGAAAATTAATGAATGAATGAGCAACCATAATATTTACCCCCCTCCCCCCTCATTTAGGATTATAAAAACTTTACCAACATATTTCTGCAGCACCTGCCAAAAACACAGTCCTGAACAAATCTGGCACATTTTCTGATAACCAGCAACACTTGACTTGTAGAGAAATGAAATGTCCGATGAGCTATAGTGGAAGTACCCGTCTGCAGTCAGTGTGTGTTGTCCCTCAGGTCTGGGTCAGTCGAAGGCCGCCGTGGCTCCAGCTGCAGTGGGTGAACTGGCTCCAGCTGTGTTCCTCAGGCAGGTGTGTGAGGGCCTGCAGACGGGCCCCGTGGTGATCATCAGCCCGTCTCTCAGCGGCATGTACTCACTGCCGTTCCTCTTCCAGCACTCAGAGCTGCTCAAAGCCTACATCCCTGTTGCTCCCATCTGCACTGAGAAGTTCACCGCCGAGCAGTACGGCAGCATACAGGTCAACACACACATCTGACACACACTTCAAAATCACCACACATTTAACAAGTCTAATATATATATATATATATATATATATATATATATATATATATATATATATATATATATATATATATATATATATAAAACTACACAGGGAAAAATGCTACTTTTAGAAGAAGATATCTGATGGCATTTGGAGGCTTTTGCATCTGAACTCTTCATATTTTATGAGTGGAAACAATGTCTATATAGTCATTTATTTAATTATATATACATTTAAAAACTTTATTTTTTATCATATGGATAATATGATAGTGACCCCTAAAAATAAAATAATAATTTATCTTGTCAAAACCTGGTGTAGTTGCATTGTTTTGTTTACAGTTGAAGTCAGAATTATTAACCCCCTTAATTATTCGCCCCCCTGTTTATTTTTTCCCCAATTTCTGTTTAACGGAGAGAAAATTTCTTCAACACATTTCTAAACATAATAGTTTTAATAACTCATCTCTAATAACTGATTTATTTGATCTTTGTCATGATGACAGTAAATAATATTTGACTAGATATTTTACAAGACACTTCTATACAGCTTAAAGAGACATTTAAAGGCTTACCTAGGTTAATTAGGTGAACTAGACAGGTTTGGGTAATTAGGCAAGTTATTGTATAACGATGGTTTGTTCTGTAGACTATTGGAAAAAATATAGCTCAAAGGGGCTAATAATTTTGACCTTAAAATGTAAAGAAAAAAATTAATAACAGATTTTATTCTCGCTGAAATAAAACAAATAAGACTTTCTCCAGAAGGAAAAATATTATCAGACATACTGTGAAAATTTCCTTGCTCTGTTAAACATCATTTGGGAAATACTTATTAAAATAATAATTAATAATAATTCTGACTTCAACTCTATATATAGCAATCGAGTAACGCTAATTATGTTATTATAATTACAAGGACATATTGTTATAGTTAATTAATTAAATTAGTTAATTAATATTTAAATAATTAAATAATTATGATAGCTAATAAATGTTGTCAATTAAATATAATAATATATGATCTATCAAATGTTTTTCAGTCCTGCAAAAAATGCTTTTCTCACTTAGATTTTTTGTCTTGTTTCTAGTACAAATATCTAAAAGTTCTTAAATCAAGAAGAATTTTCTAGACAAGCAAAACATATTGTCTTGTTTTAAGAAATAATATGCCAAAATGAAGTGAGATTTTTCTTAAATCAAGCTAAACAATCTGCCAAAGGGGTAAGCAAAATAATCTTATCACAAATCGAAAAACAAGATTATTTTGCTTACCCCATTGGCAGATTATTTTGCTTGATTTGAGGAAAAACTGACTTCATTTTGGCATATTATTTCTTAAAGGGTCACGAAACACCAAAACACATTTTTTGAGCTATTGACAGTCGTATATGTGTCCCACACTGCTAAAAACACTATTAGGACACCTATATTTCACTAAAAAGTGTAAATTGGTTGTTTTTGCGTTATTTCAAGCAAATTCGTACTTCCTGTTTGAAACGAATTTTTGAAGCTGCGTCACGGTCATGACATAATAGCGTTGTATTCCAGCGTGCAGACTGGACGTCTGTGCCAGAGTGTGTCTTATTACGTCTTACAGTGTTATGCATTAATGCATGAGTAAGCCTTGGTTCAAACCAATCAGCGCGCTCTATTGTGCAACTTCATTAATATTCATTAGTGTCACCGTCTTTACACCACAGAGACGCCACGTTGTGTTGGCAAAACAAGCGTGAAGTGTTGCTTTTAAATTTTGCTGCAGTTAAGTTTCGTTTTCATTTTCTCTCTGTGAGAGCTCAGACTCACGTGTGGATTAACAGTGTACGCGACGCGCGACAACAATAACTTACGTGTCTAAGGGGGATTATTGTTTACCTGAGAGCTGTTCTCATCTGCAAACGCTGAGATCCGGATTCCGGATGTAGTCTTCTCTTCAGACGCGGCTCTAGTTGCTGGTGATTGTTCTGTCTCTACAGATTTGGTAAGTGAGCGACCAGTGCTCTTTGTTTATTCAGTTTGTTCGTATCGAATTAAGTTAACTATTGCACTGAGGGCAAACATGTTAGCACCGCATTTTGTGACCGGAATAACACACGCGGCTTTCTGACGTTACCTGTCGTGTGCGTCTAAGTTTCCGGGAAATGCGGAGTTTTTTTTCTGTCATTCGCCGTGCGGTATCAAACATTGCATGAAAAATACACGCTTAGAGCAGATCCTCGAATCAAATATCGCGTTTGTCGCGAGGGACATGAATGAATTCCCTGAATGAAAGAGCCAAACTGCAGTTAAAGTCCACCAGTTAATAATTTGGCAAATAATTCCACTACAGATGTCCATGTAGGTTAAACACCATCTCTTTCTCCTGTGTGTGTATTTTGACTGAAACTCGCGCGTGCCCAAATAGACACTCCCACACCCTCCCACTTTAGTTCCTCCGACACTCCCCCCTAAACAGAGCTGGACACCCCCACTTTTCTGACTTTTTCCAAAGTGGAGGTGTGAAAACACCCTGCTGAAACGAGGGGGTTTCATGGCCCTTTAAAACAAGACAATATGTTTTGCTTGTCTAGAAAATTCTTCTCGATTTGAGAATTGGTACATATTTGGACTAGAAACAAGACAAAAAAATCTAAGTAAGAAAAGCATTTTTTGCAGTTCGGGATGCAGCTGGAAAGGCATCCGCTGTTAAAAAACATGCTGGATAAGTTGGTGATTCATTCTGCTGTGGCGACCCCTGATAAATAAAGCAACTAAGCGAAAGGAATGTGAATGAATGAATGAATGAATGATCTATCCAACTCAAAAAATGTTATATCATTATAAAATCATTCTACTTTTAATCCCCTATCACTATGTAATTCAATTATTTTAAGCTGCTTAACTGCTCTTTAGATAAAACAATATAAGATTAAAGTCCCCCTGCAGTCACTAATTATCCCTTAAATGCAACTGTTGATAATCCAAATCACAGTTCAACATTTCCCCCCCAATAAAAATGTTTTTAAACAGGATTTATTATATTTGTGGTGATGCAAAACTCAAGCAGGTTCATATCACATTCTAGTTTACTGAAGTTGTTTTGGGATTGTCTATATGTCATTAAAAACAGCTCACAGACAACATTAAAACTGTATGTTCTCCACAGCATGTCTATAAATGACTTTCATTTTGATCTAAAATGTGTGATTTTCACCTCATGTATCCTCACAGACTCCGGCTCTTATAGTTTACGGAGATCAGGACACTCAGCTTGGGGAAGTGTCGCTAAACAACCTGAGCCAGCTGCCCAATCACAGAGTGGTGGTAATGAAGGGGGCGGGGCATCCTTGTTACCTTGATGATCCGGAGACCTGGCATAAGGCAGTTCTGGATTTCCTACAGCAGCTGAGATAAAAGAGTATCACACACTAAAAAAACCTCTAACAGAGTAAACACTACTTACTCAAAGGCGTTAATCACACATCTCATTAATATGAAGTACAGTCAATCCCAAAACTGATTACATCAGAAACACTAGATTTTTTTAAATATGCAATCTGGCCTAATCATGTTTTTGCAATGTGGACTGATGGCACTTGTGTTGATTTGTGTTTTGAAGACTTGAAACTGTCAATGAGGGATTAATATGGGATGAGAGTTGATTTTACACATCAGGAACTGTAAACTGGGCGTTTTGTACCAGAATGAAGCTCTGAAACACTACAATTTGTTGGAATATTTATCGTATTTTGGTAGCACTTTACAATAAGGCTGTATTAGTTCATGCTTTTACTACGAATGATGAACAATACATGTATTACAGTATTTATTCATCTTTGTTAATGCTAATACAGTTGCTCATTGTTAGTTTTTGTTAACTCACAGTGAATTCATTTGGATTTTAGTAATGCATCAATAAATGTTGAACTATTATTAATAATTCGTCACCTTGAGTTATAAGGTTCTATCTGTGTTCTGAATGGTTTTGAGATATTGAGCTTCGAAATTTTTGCATTCCATAGCAAACATTATGTGTGTAACATTTGTTTTTTAAATGAAGTCTTAAAATGTAAACAACTTATAAAAAGACATCCCATAATGTAAGTAAGTTGTCATTTAATAAGAATATGTCAATAATTCAATCAATAATTCAATTTTGACCAAAATGCCAGATAGAACCTTATCATTTTAAGGTGAAGCGAATTGCTGTACAAGTATTGTTCATTATTAGTTTGTGTTAATAAATAGATTAACTAACATGGACTAATGTGATCTTATTGTAAAGTGTGACTAATATTTTTTTTTTATAATTACACATAACAAACCAATTGATGATTTTGTGATAATCGTTATGCTTTGGTTTATGAATTGTAATTTTTCACTTATGGTGATTTTTCTCAAAAGAAAAAACGATATGTTAAAAAACATTATTAAACATTATAGAATAAAGAGATAGTTCACTCGAAAAATGTAACCTTTCATCATTTACTCCCCTTTGCTTGTTCAAAAACCTATTTGAGTTTCTTTTTTTCAGTTGGTCACCAAAGGAGATATTTAGAAAAATGCTGGTTGCTGGCATCCATTGACCTTCAATCAATTTTTTCCTACTATGGAAGTCAGTAGGTGCCAGCGTTTTTCAAAATATCTTCTTTTGTACACTCATAAAGGTTTAAAAACACAAGTATGAGAGTAAATGAAAATGTCAATTTTTGGGTGTACTATACTGTATAACTGTCACGTTATTAGTGACAACTGTGGTCAAAATGTGAACTGCAGTCAACAACCTGTTTTAAGAGACCAACTTGTTATATGAGACCAAATGCTTCAAATTATCTTTAATAACTAGAACTTATTATAGTTTGATTATAATCATATCAATGTACAACAAATAAACCCATATTTCTTAAAAAGGATCATGTGACTTATTACAAGTTTTCCATCATATGAAAATTGGAGTTTTGTGAGAATGTAAAAACAATCTGTATTTTATTATTTATGTTTTTCCCCTCTTATTTATGCATTTGAATTGCATTTTGGGAGCTTGATCTTTCCTCCAAAATAATTTTACTTTACATTTTTAATAGTTTAAAGCAGGGGTTTTCAACTTTTTCACTTCGAGGCCCACCTTTTTCTCCGAAAAGTTTTTTCCCAAACTGATTATCTTGAGAAAATGCTTGTTTTTGAGCTTTATTTATTAGCAAAACATTTATTTTGTCTTCCTTTATTCCCTTATTTTTCTACATCATTTTATAAAAAAACCTGAAACATTCTGCATGTATGCAAGTATAATTTAGAAGGTTCAAAGCTTCTAAATCTTTTTAGTTATACTTCACAACGGCAGAGTACTTGGGCCTTTTCTTCTGCTTTGAATTAGATCAATAGATTATTAATTGATCTATATCCATTAAAATAAACAACCTAACCCTAACCCTAAATGTAAAATATAGAAAAATCCTCTAAATCTGTTGAAACACATCGATCTGAAGACAGTTTGGTTTGTAGCTGTCCATTATTGAAATTCGCTGACAGGAACAGTGATCAGCTGTTCACTACTGAAACTCCAACGAGACTAGATCCTCCTGTATGGATGCGCATCAGTTATAAAACACTTGCAAGGCATTAATTTGAACAACTATGCGGATATTTTAAAGTGTTCACACAAAGAGAGCGCGCATAGTTTGTGAATCAACAGACTTGTGTGACTGATACAGTATGAGTTGCAGACGTGAGGCACGCATAACCTGGTTATAACTCTAAACATCGTTACCTTTACATTTGCATGGCTGTTTTGTTACACAGTGAGGAAATCAGTCTGAATTAGCCTGTTCAATCACAGAAATTAGGAAATGCCATTACTAATATCATTTTAATATGACAAATTTAATAATTAAATCAAATAATTATAGTAGAATATTTAAGTTAATTTTTAAGTTAATTTCTACTGTGTCGTGGCCCACAGGTTGAGGCACCCTGGCTTAAAGTGATATATTGTATGGGTTAGTGTTATAAATTATGGTACAAAAACCTGGCAATAACCAGCCAGTACATTTTTGGTAATTTTACAAACTTCTTAATTTCTCAATCTACGAAAATGTCAATAAAAGTCACTTTGTTAAACTGTAGAGTTGAATTTTCAACATCAAAGGTCAACAGAGCAGAAATCAACATCCCATAAAGCAATTCACAACCGTAAATAAACAGAAAACACTTGTGAAGCTCAAAATATGGAAAATGTTCATTCGATTTGTTTTACAGTGCATCTGAGTGTAAAAAGTTTTTGCAAAATGTTTGTGTTAGAGTTTTTGCAAAATATATGTGTCCATTAGGTTTATTTTTAATTTACAAAGTTTAAAAGGTAATGGAAACAGCTGTAAACAATCTCGAATAACAATGCTGTAGAATTATAACGTAGCCTTATTAAGTACATTTAGAGTGCTTTCACACCTTCCCTTGGTCTGGACCAAGGTTAAAAATTGAATATTGTAGCGTTTTCTGCAGTTTTTGTTCAGTTTTACACCAGACAGCCTGCTCTTAAACAGACCAAAAAGCAGTTACGTGACAACATCTACATCAGTCGTTATCTAAACTGCATTTTGATTGGTCAGACTTAATGAGCGAGAAACTGACTTGCACAACACAGTAAACAATGGCTGCATCCAAACTTGCCTACTACTCAGTAGGTACTAGGCTTGAATTTGATTTTACTATTCAACTGTTAGAAAGTATGTTCAATACAGTATGAATGCGAGTACAAATGGAACTCAGAAGTTCTATATGCACCCTTTGTCTTTATTATGTGACCTCATGAATTCTCTGGCGTAGCATAATGGGATAGCATAGCATCCATCAAATGCGCATTTCAGAATTTCATCCGGGTACTTCTTACATACGAATACTATGAATTCGGGCATACTACTCGGATAAAATACTGTTTTTATCATACTATATAGTAGTGTTGGCATGATATTGTAATTCAATACCAATCTGTACATAAATTTGAAAAACCATTTCCCCCTTACATTTGAGCGAAACATCAGCTGATTTATAAGTGGATTGTGCGCATGTCAGCTTATAAACAAACCAGCTGATCTTTGCCTCTTTTAAACACTCCAGTGTTTCTGTACCTGTGTTTCCAAGCAGTAAACAGCAGTGAGTTTGGTGAACAGATAACGTTTGCAGCCAATCACAGACATTTCTGTTAAGCATGTGAACACAATTGCAAATCAGCGCTGTTTAAGAACGCGCTCAAATGTTAGCAGGAAATGGACGTTTTTACAATTGCAGTACTGATAGAAATCGAATTTCAGTATCATGACAAACCTACTTAAAGAGTATGGAAGTATAAAATGTTGGACGCAGCAAAAAAAAAAAAAAAAAATCAGAAGAAAAGTCAGCAGACCGTATAATTTTTGCATTTGGGTCGGTTCATGTTCTCACCACAAACTAACCATTCCAGGGTTCCTTTGAAAGCGTACTGAGACAACCTCTTCCAGCAGGTCTCGGTACACTTGTTGGATCCTCTTTTGTACCATTCACACCTGCCTAAATGAAATGAGACACGCATATCATGAAGAATATAGCACAGCATTTAGATGATGTGTTAAAACAGGGGCCAATGACTTAAAATCATGTCAGTGTCTTTCTCTAATGAACATGTTAATGACAGCAGAAAAATAACCACCACACAATGCACTGAAGTGAAAAATATGACCATTATTTAATAACTGATTCTCTGTAATAAACAATTTGAAAATATTTTACAAGGAGTCACAGACACAATATTTTACAAATTTTCCCTTTTTTTCTTTTTCTTTTTTTTGTTGTTGTCTGTACAAAAAAATGGAGCAACATGGACCCAGAGACGAGGCACTGAGCCCCCAACACACAATCCAATAAACGAACCAAAAGAAAAACGCTCACCATGATTTCAGACCTCAACTCATGAGTATTATCAGCAGTACTGTGTTTTTTTTTAAAATTGTTAATACATTTTAAAACCTCACTCATGTTAAATTCAGTTTCTCCTTTGTATTGTTTATTTTTTTTAATATATATTTTTGTACACATTTGTCACGGAGCACCAGACTAAAGACTACGTAATCACATACACACGTCTCGCTGATGGAAACGCGCCTACAATGGTGTTGCTTTGGAGGGGGAGGGGCTAAGGGAGAGTCTGAGCTAATGACTCCTCCCACTGGTTGCTTATACATCAGGCCCCTCCCCTTGCGCAAGCTGCGTCCACGTTTTAGCTTTTCATGTTGAATACTATTTTTTTTTCCACTTTTTTTTTTGGCAAAAGCAAATCGTTCAGACCACTTAAAAACAAGGACTTTTGTTCCACAGTGTACTTGGAATTGTGACACAAGACCGACACATTCATGATCATTTAAATCGCAGTGTCTCGCCAAAATGTGTTTTCCTATTTTGGGCCGTTCAGTGCCCCTGTACATCGACAGTGTTCCAGTTTTAAGACAGTTACACACTTCCCCCCTCCCAAAAAATAAAACGCGATAATACAAAACAAACAAATGTGGCAAAGTTTTAAAACAACTCACCAGAATAACAAGGCATATTTCCACCTTTCACACTCTTTCACCTGACATGAAATATAATTTTTGATTTTTTTTCACAATCAGGTTAAGAACGAGGTACATACTAACAATATAACATTAAATTTGTGGGTTAAAGGGAAAATTCACTCAAAAAATGAACATTGTCATCATTAATGCAACTCTTTGTTTTTTTCACATTTTTCTTATGTCAAAAAGAGCCTGATTTGAAGAATGGGGTCTGTGTGTGGACTGCAAGACAGCGCTGTAACATGAGGAGGCATAACTTGTAGTATGTTAGAGGCGTAACTTGAAGTTATGGAGACCCACATTTCGAAACTATATTGTTGGCAGAATGCCGCTTTACAACAGTTATTAATGTCTTCACCTTTCCCAAACCTAAACCCAACCATAACAGTTATTAACGTCTCCACCTTTCCTCAAGCCTAAACCCAATCATCAACATCATTAACGTCTACACCTTTTTCAAACCTAGACTCAACCATCATTATTAACGTCTACACCTTCCCCAAACCTAAACCCAACCATCATCATTATTAACGTCTCCACCTTCCCCAAACCTAGACTCAACCATCATCATTAACATCTACACCTTTTCCAAACCTCAACCCAACCATCATCATTAATAACGTCTCCACCTTCCCCAAACCTATACCCAACCATCATCATTAACATCTACACCTTTTCAAAAACTAAACCCAACCATCACAGTTATTAACGCCTCCACCTTTCCTCAAGCCTAAACCCAATCATCACCATCGTTAACGTCTACACCCTTTTCAAACCTAAGCCCAACCATCATCATTATTAACGTCTACACCTTCCCCAAACCTAAACCCAACCATCATCATTAACATCTACACCTTTTCCAAAACTAAACCCAACCATCACAGTTATTAACGCCTCCACCTTCCCCAAGCCTAAACCCAATCATCACAATCGTTAACGTCTACACCTTCCCCAAACCTAAACCCAACCATCATCATTAACATCTACACCTTTTCCAAAACTAAAACCAACCATCATCATTATTAACATCTACACCTTCCCCAAGCCTAAACCCAATCATCACCATCGTTAACGTCTACACCTTCCCCAAACCTAAACCCAACCATCATCATTAACATCTACACCTTTTCCAAAACTAAACCCAACCATCATCATTATTAACGTCTACACCTTCCCCAAGCCTAAACCCAATCATCACCATCGTTAACGTCTACACCTTCCCCAAACCTAAACCCAACCATCATCATTAACATCTACACCTTTTCCAAAACTAAAACCAACCATCATCATTATTAACATCTACACCTTCCCCAAGCCTAAACCCAATCA